CATAAAACGCTAGTTTTTCTAAACCGGGAAGAATCGAGAAACAACCTGTGAAAATTTGAACCCAAAATTCCAAGGCTATCTAGAGTTATAGTCGATTGAAGATCGGAAAACGGGGGAGAAAGTAGTCACAGAAGTAAATGCAAGTATGTATGGGAGCCGTGTGGTTTCCGTCCAGCACTACACTATCTGGTGCATACATGGCGATACAGGATGTGTGCATGCATGCAGTGTGCACGCATGCCGTGCGCGCCGACTTGCACAAGTCACACGTTTTCACCGTCACTGCTTCTACCAGTGTGCGCGCAGTTCACTCGATTTTTTCGTCTACCACCAGGAAATCGCCGTGGGCTGGTTTCTGTGATCATTTTCCTTCTACGGCGATAAAGCGCGAGCCTCAATGTTGTAGAATCCTCTTGGTTTAGGCTAATTCGAGGCCGCTGAACACGAAAATCGGGTGTTCCTCGCGAAGCCGAGTACGGATCTGGTCGAAATTAGTACTTCGAAGTGCACCCGCGCCAAGCGCGGAGGCATTATTTTTGGAAGCATGGCCTGTGTGGCACCATTGGAAAGGTAATGACCTCAGCTACATAAAAATAGCATCGACAAGGCCGAAAAGGCCGCGGGAGAAGATACTCGGGCCGCGAACTGCATCTCGAACTGCAGCCACGAGGCGCCCATTCACTTTGTACAGGCGAGCTGTGACTGCACTTTTCGCTTTTCAGTGACCGGAACTGAACTCCCTATTAATAGGGGTGAAAGTTGGCATTGAGATCCCGAGTTCGAGTACTCTGATTTTCTCCGATCGAATATTCGAGTATTCGAGTATTCTTCATCTCCTAAAAATTGCACACCGAGGGCCTTAAAATCACATGATACACCCCTGATTGAACCGAATGGCAGCCATTTTCTCTGGTATATTGGTTGCTGGGTCATTTGGGCTCTCTCTACTCTTGAACAAATGTTCACCACACAGTCTGCACATCAATATCTGCCAATTGGCTGCTCTGAAACTGCAGATTTCTGTGGTAAATGCATGTACCACGTAGGAACGAGTACTCTGATTTATTCCGAGTACGAATATTTCTGAAAAAACCGAGCGAGTATTCGAGTATTCGGTATAATTGTTTCACCCCTAGTCATTAACCTATGTCATTAACCTATGTCATTAACCTATGTCATTAACCTATGTCATTAACCTATGTCATTTGGCTCTGCCCTCACGGTATCGAGCACTTTTGCCATTAGTAACAACATAGCTTGTACTCTTGACGACATGTGATTCGGGATTCGAACAGAGTTGAGACGAAAAAACAAAACAAAAACAAAGAAGGTGTTCCCTAAGATGTAGCGTGAGGCCATTGATGACAAGTACCCATTCTGGACATGTTATATTTCTCTCACTTTACACCGGCTCTATATGATTGGAACATGTTGGTACCGTAGGAAGGCAATCCAGTCCAATTCTAACCTGTTTGCAATTATGTGATACCTGCAGCTCGCAAGAAAGAATCTGATGCGGTGGTGTTTCACAGCAACCGTGCTGAACTGCTAGAAGGGGTGGAGCGCCTGTCCGATCGCAGGTTAGCTGCTGCAAGTGTCACCCAGTCTACCTGCTGTGTAACTGCTTCCCCCAGTTTAAAACTGTTCTGCTGAACCCCAATCTCCCGTATACATGTAGTGTTACTGTGAGTACGCTTTCAGCAATCGACTGCATTCACCTTGTCATTGTGATGTCCTCTGTACACACTTTGGTGGCCAAGATAGTTGCTTTGTGCATGTTAAGTCGTGAACAGAAGTATGAGCACAAGCTATTCTGTCCTTCTTGGACAGATTTGCACGCATGTCATGATTGTCCATACGTCCTCAACATGCTGTAGCATACAAAATATACTGCAAGGACCATTTTTTTCTTCAAAAGAGAAATGGAATATTCGTTGCATTTTTTCTGCCGACAAGACGGGCATTGTGTTGTGGCCAAAGACCCCCGAATGAGAAATAGAGGGTACCTGGTTCAAGTCTAGCGTGACAGTGGAGGGAAGTGTTTCCTACCAGACTCATTACTTTGTACGGGGATAACACCAAGAGTACATAGTAACGTTACTACATACCCCAAGAGTGTACAGCGCGTATGCAGTGCTCTCCCTACACTTTCGCTTGGATTTCAGTCGCCTCAGAAAAAACGAAGCTGACCATCGTGATCAGCAACCTCAAAACTACAAAATACGAGGCAGAGAAAATTGTTGGTGGCAGTTCCCCCTTTGTAAAATTAGTGGCAGCGACTTCGGTGGCATTAGTTGAAGAAATCGATTGCTCCTAGGCTAACATGGAATTCATGCTTATTGTCCTACAGTGCTTAGTGTGTAGCTTTCTCATGTTTGTTTTTGTCTGTGTGTACTTGTCTGTGTGCTCTTGTCTGTGTGTCCTTGTCTGTGTGTACTTGTCTGTGTGTCCTTGTCTGTGTGTACTTGTGTGCTTTTTTTAAATACACTGGACGTTGTGCATTTTGGATTGAACAGAAAAATGTGCCGGGAATCAGTCCGAAGCCTCAAGCTCGCTCGTGCATGGATTGCGTCAGACCTTCTTAACATCCTTCCCATTGTGCAGGTTAGTGTACATGTGCGCACGTGTGTGTGTGTGTGTGTGCGCGCGCACGCGCGCGCAGGTGCTGGCGTGCTTGCGTGCGTGCGAGGGTGCGTGCGTGTGCACACGTGCATCATGGTTGTGATGATATCAATCTTGCACTGCAAGTCATCTGCTGTAGAACTGATTCACTACATGCCTGCTGTATTTTAGAGTGTGAATTTATATGCAAACGAATGTGGATTAGGGACAAACACGTGTTGTATCCAGGTGTAGTTGGTGTTGTTTGTAGAACTTACAGCACACAGTACACTGACAACACAGGCTGTAAATGCGAGTCTTCAACATGGGTTGGGTGAACTCTCTGGCCACACTGAAAACTCTCTAGTGACCAGTAACCACCACTAAACCGAGAGAGCTCAACTCCCTTGCTATGCTTTGTTTTACCTAGGTCATCATGCAAGCTACTCAAACTGGTAGTAACAGGGCAGGCAGGGGAAACAGCTACCCTGTAACCCATTTTTCCATTTTCCAAAATGGTCTTGCCATGCAAAATGCAACATACGGAGGCGAACCCTGACTTCGCCCCAGACAAGTGTGCCTTTATGAACCCTCTGTTAGTGGCTATCGACTGCATTTTCCTTGAATTGCCTGAAAAAATCGACGAATGAGTATTGGGCGCCACATTTTCACAAGGAGGCGCTCAATCAGAGTAGGGGGTGTGCTGCCCCCCCCCCCCCCCCTTCCTTTGGCTAGACCTCTGTGCGTACTATGCATTATGTTATCATCGGGCTCCAGGCGCGTAGCCGGAAGGGTTTGGGAGGAGGTTTCCAGATGGGGGTCCGGGGGGGGGGGGGGGGGGTGTCCCACGGTGGGGGTCAAGGGGGTAGAGCCCCTTTGCGGGGGTGGGCAGGGGCAGGGCCTCGTGAAAAGCTTTAGGGTATCTTCAAATTCCAAGCTCCTGAGAGGCTCAAACTGGGACTTTACAAATATCATTGTCAATGTGTTGTGGTTCATTCACATCTACTTACAAGTAGGAGAATTGTATTAAAATACAAAACATGAAAAAGAACTTTTACACAATCGTACATACCGTAGTTGTCCAGCCACATCACACGGTACATGTAGTTGTCCAGCCACATGACACAGTACATGTAGTTGGTGCGGACGAAGCACTCGTAAAGCTTCACACCTCACTCAAGTACATGCATGCAGCATGCACCGCACTGTCACTTTGTTCTTCCCGTGACTGCATATGCATGCCTCAGGAGAGTTTTACTGTGGTTTTCAAAGATTTTCGGCTTCTGGCTTGCAAACCCAGAGGGGGTTTCCGGGCAACCTGGAAACACTGCCGGCTACGCGCCTGGGCTTGTGTTTGAATGCCAGTAACTACTTGCCTACCTACTCCCTCCTGCATACCTGCCTACTACAGTGTACCTACTTGTGCTGTGTGTGCCATTGTCTGTGCTGACAGGTGTCTGAGACTGAGTATACAATATGGGCTGTCAAGCTTCCACCATCAGAATCAATGCAAGGTGAGCTACTACACCATGCATGTGCCATCTGTCTGTACAAACCAATACAAACCAGTGCATAGCTATACATAGCGATGCAGGTTGTTTGCACCCCCCCCCCCCCCCCCCCCCCCCCCACACACACACCAGTGGCAGAGTACGACAGCTCTGCTTTGTTGTAACCGTTGGTTTCATGCCCCGATCATCAGACAACTGGTCAGTGTTGAAAAATCTACTTTTACAACGAATTGGAACTGTGGTACCCTGTAAATGGTGAAGGGGAGGGGGGATCATCGGACCCAATTTTTTGTGATTTGTTGTTGTCGTTGTTGTCGCCGTTGCTGTTGTCGTTGTTGTCATTGCCTTTATTGTTGCTGTTGTGGTATGGTTGTTGCTGGGTGTATGTGTGTGTGTGTGTGTGTGTGTGTGTGTGTGTGTGTGTGTGTGTGTGTGTGTGTGTGTGTGTGTGTGTGTGTGTGTGTGTGTGTGTGTGTTGTGTTGTGTTTCACAGGATGCAGTGCGAATGACCTTGCCGTCAGTTGTGGATTTGTTGCGCACGCTCTCCTTTCTCTCAGTCACATTCTACAAGTACCACTCAGGCACGCAATCATCTTTAGCGGCTCTCAGTCGAGAATCCGTGATGACGTACCAGCCAAGTTAAGCAACAGCGAGCGAGAGTAAGTTTACCAGGCACCCAAGAACTACATACTCTAATCTCATAATTAGGGGCAGTCACAGCAGCTTGAATAGAGTGCTCAATGCACCAGAGTGCGGTGTGGTGTACACACCATGTACCATGTATACACCCGTCGCAAAAGAAGCACGCAAATACGGAAATGCACTGGATGTGCATCCACAGATTTTTTCTCTTATAGCAACGATAGCAGATCTGGGTCTGAATGAAAGACGCACACATACACACACACACACACACACACACACACACACACACACACACACACACACACACACACACACACACACACACACGTATCAGGGATGATTTTTTCAGCATCGCATTGCAATGTAAAGGAAATCTGGTATCTATGGTGTTTGGTGTATGAAGTATCATTGTCAGGATCAACGTGGTGTATAACTGATCATGTCATGCAGTCAGTGCTACACTGGTTAACTCTGTCTCTCTCTCTCTCTCTCTCTCTCTCTCTCTCTCTCTCTCTCTCTCTCTCTCTCTCTCTCTCTCTCTCTCTCTCTCTCTCTCTCTCTCTCTCTCTCTCTCTCTCTCTCTCTCTCTCTGTCTCTCTCTCTTTCCTTCTCCCCCTCCTCCCCTGTATGTAGGCTACGTCTGTATCCGCAAGATCGAGTTGAACGTGATGATTATTTCAAGGTGGCCATGTACTTACTCAATGCTAACATAGTACAGTTGAGGCAACAAATTCGTCTGAGTACATCTGATGCACGTCGCACACTGCACAACCTGAAGGGTGTGCTTGACAAACTCGCTATCAGGTGGTAAGTTCGCTAGATCACATAGCTGCGTTTTAACCATCTGAGTGTGTGTGTGTGCATGCACGTGTGTGTTTGTGTGTGCCAGCTAGTTGGTGAGTACACTTATGCCACATAGTGTTGTGTCTGTTGCCAACGGGCTCGGCTGCTTGAAGGTGTATTGTTGTACCTGCCACCTTTGTTGGTTTCAGGGATCATATACTTTCTACTTGAAGTAGACATACCTGTTAACCATTGACTGCTTCTGGCTAGATTAACACTTGTGTAATCAATGGTGCTAGGGAAGCTTATATCAGATCCACTCTGATTTAGCCACCCACACTAGTAGCAAGTATTACCTTTACTGGGGGTAGGGGTAACAGCAGTTGGATCCCGGGACGGATACCCTGATGTCGTCAATCCTTTTTCTGCACCTTGTCCTCTCCCACTTACTGCGGTGTGGTGGGCCCATAAGTGGGATCACTTCCAAGTCCACCCAGAGTTTGGGGATGTCAGGGGGTGTCGGCCGTTGGGCGGTTCAATAACCAATTGAGTCATCTTTCCATGATTCCTTTGGAGTCTCTCACCCCTCTCCCGGGGAAACCCACGTGACCAGTTTTGGCAGTGAGCAAGTACAAGTACAAGTGTGTGTGTGTTTGTATGTGTGTGTGTGTGTGTATGTGTGTGTGTGTGTCAGGGGTGTGTGTGTGTGTCAGGGGTGTAGGAAGCATATTTCCAATCGTCCGGCAGACCGATCGACAGTGTGACGTCATACATGACCAAACCACAAATATTTGATTCAGGCATGCAGTAACACCTGTAACTAAAGACCACCTTGACTAGCAACCAGCCTGGTACTACCGACCACTTCGCCAGGCACGGACGGTCTCACATTCAAAATGCACTGTGACTAGCAACTACCTGCTGAACGTGACCAGCGACCGCTTTTTCTTGTCCCAAAGACTATTTTTGACCCGTAACTAGCGACCGCGATAGAGGAAATCGAATGTTGCTCGAAGTTCCTTCTTGAATTTTTTCTATAGGAGCTGTAAGATACTGGCTCTCCTATACACAGAGCGGATTGGCTCCAAAGAAATCACGTATCACCGAAAAACGCACAGTTTCAAGTTCGATCCGAACGTGACAGCCGGAAATCAGTTGATTCACTTCAAGTGCGATTTTCTCAAAATCACGTGCCGCAGAATAACGTCCCTTTTCGCTTGCGCTGGCTCATATGGTTGCGTGGTGCAAACGTCTATCTAAAGACCGCCTGTCACTAAAGACCGCTTTTGCTGGCACCAAGGGGTGGTCACCAAGGGGTGGTCACCAAGGGGTGGTCACCAAGGGGTGGTCACCAAGGGGTGGTCACCAAGGGGTGGTCACCAAGGGGTGGTCACCAAGGGGTGGTCACCAAGGGGTGGTCACCAAGGGGTGGTCACCAAGGGGTGGTCACCAAGGGGTGGTCACCAAGGGGTGGTCACCAAGGGGTGGTCACCAAGGGGTGGTCACCAAGGGGTGGTCACCAAGGGGTGGTCACCAAGGGGTGGTCACCAAGGGGTGGTCACCAAGGGGTGGTCACCAAGGGGTGGTCACCAAGGGGTGGTCACCAAGGGGTGGTCACCAAGGGGTGGTCACCAAGGGCAAGGGGTGGTCACCAAGGGCAAGGGGTGGTCACCAAGGGCAAGGGGTGGTCACCAAGGGGTGGTCACCAAGGGCAAGGGGTGGTCACCAAGGGCAAGGGGTGGTCGGTAGTTACAGGTTTTACTGCACGGTCAACTTTGCTTATAACGACACTCGGCGGCAGGGCATCAGAAAAGTGTCCTTATTCGCGAAGTGTCGTTATACCCGAAGTCTCATTATTTGTGTCACAGTTGGATGGGACTTGCTCTGGGCATGAAAATTATGTCGTTATTCGCGAATTGTCGTTATATCCGCAGTCGTTATAAGCAAAGTTGACTGACTGTACATGTATTTTGCACTTTGTCAAAGTACAGTAAAACCTGTGACTAACGACCACCCCTTGGGGCCAGAGAAAGCGGTCTTTAGTGGCAGGTGATCCTTAGTTAGAGGTTTGTATCGCACAACCGCATATGAATGTGAGACTGTTCGTGTCTGGCGAAGTGGTCTGTAGTACCAGGCTGGTCGCTAGTCGCGGTGGTCTGTAGTACCAGGCTGGTCGCTAGTCGCGGTGCGGCTTCCTTAGTTACAGGTTTTACTGTAGTGACATTGTGACTGCGTGTACAAGCATTGCCTAATCCCGGCACATATGATGTGCATGCACGGTGATTTAAAATATTTGAATCAACAGGGACGAAGCTACTATTTTAGCTCGTTGTCGTCGTTATTTTAATAGGATTTATTTGAAAGAATACCTTGGTATCACGGAAGACTTATAGTCTGTTTCAAAAAGATTTACAATCAGGTTTGGGTCTTAAAAAGTATGAAGATGAGGGAAATTTGGACAACAAAGTACATAGAATGGCTTGTTAGGACACGGCAAATTGTTCTGTGAAGGTTTCGGAACAATTGGACCAGCCGTTAAGGAGTTAGAATTTCGGCCAGGTTTCCGGCCTTTTCCCATAGTTTACAATTTGCCCAGGAAGCCAGTATCGATTTTTCATCAAAACCCACGATTTATCCTTTCCTTTTTGGCCTTGTGGTTATGAATGCTGTCTGCTGACCATGAAGTTAGTTGTGAGTTCAAATCCCAACCTATCCTCAAGTCAAACTTTTTTCCTTCATTATTTTGGTGATCAAGCTGGTACAAGACAAAGAAGATGGCTGCACCAAACGACTTGTTGTTGGAGCTCGCGCTTCCTACCGAACTGACTGACACTTGACAGGCTCACGCCATGTGAACACACCCACAACACTGCAATGGTGTGAGTGAATATGGAAGTCATCGCGCTGTAGCTTTTTGAGATATATTCTAGTATTTCAAGATCGCCAATTTATTTGAATTTAGCAGTCAATGCCGTCTTCTATCAGCGTTCACAAGCGTCTACTTTTCTCAAAATGTCGTCGAAGTCACACGGATAGCTTTGCCAAGTCATGGCCTTGGGAATGAGTCCGTGTCGATGTCGTTTTCGTCACACGGTGAGTAAATTGCATCGCAGCTCAAAGAAACTATTTTGGTCACAAAACGAATTGGGACCCATGCCGCTCGTCAACATTTACAACACTTTCGTTTCGGCATGTCCTCTCTGACTCCATTATCGATACGAAGAAGAACTCGTTTGTTGTAAACCAGACGTACATGACTGTATCAACGTGAGTGAGTTGTCATTTTTCCTGCTTTCGTGCGGAATATGTTGGCATTGCCACCTCGGACAATTTGCTGTAAAATCCATCCAGTTCTGACGTTGTTGGTGCACTGGCCGAAATAGCAGGAGGAGATGTTGGGCTGGGTAAAGCAGCAGACGACTTGGATGTCTTTGACTTCTTGCTGGGGGAGGTGAAATCCATATCAACTATTCTCTTGTAGTCAACTGACTTTATGGACGGTGGCAACCACACACATCCCTTTGATGTGCAGGCGTTGTCAGACACAAATTTAGTGTGGGATTCCAAGGCAAACAATAAAGCAGCGATGTGGGCACATGCTTCACCCAGCCCCGCTTTGCAGGTGCAGTGGGCGCAAATGATAGTGCCAGTGTGTTCTGCAGCTATCCATGGTGTGAGAGGGACGCTGCTGACTGACTGGGAGTGTCTCACCTTTGCTTTCACAACTCTCTTTTCACGATCCGATGTCGCCTCGTACGCACTCACATCTCCCAGCCACCCTGCCACCAAGAACTTGTGACCGTCAAGACTTTTATACGCCTTCAGTTCGTCCTTCGTTACCGGGCTAGGGGCTGTAATTAAGTAATTGTATAGGTCCGGATATTCAAGTAGAGGAAGCAAGTCTGACAAAGGATCGCCTTGATGGCCACTGACGCAGTACGGTTCTTTTGCTCCCTTCGCGATCAAATTTAGCTTTTCGTCGTACCTCTTCTTTGCAGCCTCGTCCAACTTCTTGTATTCTGATGAAAACTCCACCACCCCGCTTTGCTTGCCATCCATTACTTCTTCTCCAACCAGGACAGGATACCCGAACAGTCTGTCCATCGCAAACGAAGAAGCTGCAAGAAATTGCTGTCTGCATCGTCACCATGACCTCGTAGCACCAAGCTGTGACAGGCAAGGAAACGTACACTCCCCAGTATACAAATAGACGTTGCTCGCTTCTCAACTCTTTGCTGCTGATGTCGTGAACTGAACAACTCACCGACGCCTTTACTTAGGCATTTCCTCTACTGCTGTACCAGCCTCGCTGTGGCGGCTAGCACTCAACTGGCGCTTCATGACAGCAGAACTCCCATTTTCCCAGTTGAAAAATCCTCTGCTTGTATAGGCAGCATCCCGTTTGTGCTGGCCAGAAATAGCTTCTCAAAGTCTGCTTTCACGCAGACGTAACACAGGGCTACATAATCTTCCAACGGTCATAGCGCAGCCAGGGAAATTTGTCACACCACTCCGAGCGGAACGATCGCTCCTCACCTCCTTTATTGACTGAAAAAATGTAATACATGTACTTCGAAGTATTACTTTTTTTAGTTATGGTGTTCAATGTAGGTGATTGAAAAGTCCAGGCCAGGGAGATTATGCAAATAGTTGAGTCCATGATCGTTCTTTTTCCGTTTCTCCTGTGTTTGAGCAGCAGTCGTGCTGAAGCCTCACTGAACATCACCAAATCGGACAGCATGCCAACTTGCACATTCCGCCGACCTCTTCTGCACATGCGATCACGATCACACAGTAGGCTTGCTAAGGAGAGTGCAGGCAATGATAGCCATGCAACTACTGCTGCTACTCCCGGCATCAGCAGCAGCTCAACCAGTCCTGCTGCAAGTGACAGCTCTAGTGCGCAGAATGGGCAGCACCGGCCGCTTACCTGGAACAATGGAGTCATGCCTGTCATAGCCAACAGCGGCAGCAGTGGCAATACATGTACTGTCTATGATGTCGGTAGTGATGTGTGTAGTAACGGTGTATGCAATGAAGCTGGTCACACTAGCTTGACCGGCAACACTGCAGCAGCAGCAGACATGGACTATGATGAGCAGTGCACTGCGACTAGCCTGTCTGTGAATGCTGATCATAATCACAGTACTGCCAGGGCCGACTCAGGTCCCAAACACGCTGGTGATGATGATGTTGATGGTGATGTTGATGGTGATGTTGATGATGAGCAGCCTAGTGATCAGGCTGCACAGATAAGTTCCCAGCAACAGCAGCAGCAGCAGCAAGAGCGGCCAGTGCGCAAAGAGATAGTGCCGTACATGCTTTAGGCATACTGGGCCTTGAGCAATAGCTACTCTCATCCTACTATAATATATACTTTATTTTTTTAAGCAAAGACCATTGAAGGCAATTTTAAGTTGATGTGGATACTACTGCTCTTGAGTCATCAAACTAAGCCTATTACCTTTTTAACCCAATCTCTGCCTGAGGACTTACTCCAAGCCACCAACCTGCCCCCACCATTCGCATCGAACAGTTTTATTTTTACTCCCTTTCCTATGAGTGCTATCCTGAATCTCCTCAGCTCTATAGCTGTTCTGCCTTTGCTATCCTGCGCCGCCGCCGCTGCCTGCCTGGGTCCGCATCGCTGGGCTCCGCTACTTCAGTTTCCAATGGCCTGGATGACTATGTTCCGCCATTCATCACAAACTCCCCTTTATCACGTTTTTCACTGCGTCCTGCTCTCTGTTATTCCCCCACACAACGCCGTGATCACAGTAGTCTGAGGATGGTGCAGCATTACGCAAGCTGACGATAGTAAGGGATAAGGGAGTAGAGAAGGGAGACATTCCCACATTTCACATTCTAAGCTTGTGGATTGCCATGAATTACTTGAGCTTGTTTCACATTGTTCATGTTGCTGCATTGTAGAAAGTGCTGCCCTAGGCCCTGCAATGCTTGCTTTGGTCATATTCACTAGTAACAAGCTGTGATGATTTTCTTGCCTTCAACTGACTTATTTGATTTGAATACTCTCAACTTTTGACATTGGCATGCTTGCATTATTGAAGCTGTGTGTGATGTCATGTGTGATGTTATTTTATCTGGACAGTACGGCAGTAGTGCTGTCACTGCTCTGTGTGCCTCTGTTGAGTGTTGATTTCCAGTGTACTGTACTCTTTCCCCCTTACTTTCCCCCTTACTGGGCCTCAGCCTAAAGTGACTGTGTAGCTGTGTACCTCTCTGCCTGCTGAAGGTTGGATGAAGGTTGGATGAATGACCAGCTTGTGGGACTGGTTCAATGTCAGCACCTCTCTGCCTGCTGAAGGTTGGATGAATGACCATGAGGATGCCCTCACTTCAGGTCACAACTGGAGGAGTTCTGAATCCGAAGTGTTCTAGAATTGGCCCTCTCCATGGATACAGTCGGTTTGCACGGTAACCATGGTACCCATAAAATGCACTGGCCTGTGATTATACCAATAGGTGATGTAGATGAACCAGGCAACATGCAACTGTTCTTTGTTGTTTCTCCGAGATCTGATCTGCAAGGACTACTAGTAGTAGTGAAAGACATGTACAATACACATTGTGATGTGTTAGCCCTTAGCCTTGGTGTCAGTGGATTCTTGTTTTGTTTTATTTCGCTATCCCATGGCCAGTAAAGGAGTCAATATAGTGGGAAGGGTGATAACAGTTAGCCAGTCATGGCAGTAAAGAATAATGAAGTGGAATTATGAATCAGACGTCCTTTTTCAATCCCTCAAACTTATGGATATGATTACTGAGGAGAATACAACAGTGCATTGCACATTGCCGCTCAAAGAAATAGAAATAGAATAAGATTTCTGATCTGCTCTGATGATGTTGGCATGTAGACTGATATTGCACAACTCAAGATAAAGGAAATAGTAACGCACACTTTCATTGAAATCATGTTAGATTATGACACAGTCAGCATCACAGCACTGAGCAGATCAAGACATCAAGGATACTTCAAATCTGCACTGATCTTTGGTGTTTCTGTTAGCTCATCTGGAGACACTGAACATGGTGCAGTCACTGATGATGCAATGACTTGTTCCATAGTCTGATGATTGCCTGCAGTCATCACTACTGTCTCCTATCTATGCAGCATGCACATGCAATCGAACCAGTATTGTGACTGCCAGTGTACACAAAACCAGTATTGTGACCGGTACACAAAACCTCTCTAGTACTTCAAATATGTTCATGCTCGGATTGAGCTAACCTCGAACCCAGCTGATCTCGCTAATCCATATTGTCCGGCCAGTTGAATATCAGGATGTGGAATATGACACCGATCTGCGCGTTGACATCGCTTGCCACTAGTTGCGGCACTTTCTTGGGACTCTGCGGCGAGGGCATCATCAGCACAGGTCCCAGACAGATAGCAAGGTTGTGAGCTGTCATCTGGTTGTGCGCTGAGTTCTGCAGCACACGGTGCAGATGTGAGAAGAGCATACGGCATGTGTCCATCTCCGCTTGTGGTAGCCGTGCCAGTACGGATAAGAGCCTCTTGCGCCGTCGAATCTCCTCCTCTGGCAAGTAGTCTTGTTGCTTGTCGGGTGGCTTGACGGCGTCAATCAGGTCACTGTAGAGTGCATGTGTGAGCAGAGGCTCCGGGAGCTCACGAAGATACTCTTTCAACAGTCCAACGATCACGTTGACATCTGGTACATGCTCTTCGCTCAGCATAGCTGTGCGGCTGTTAGCTTCGAAGCTTTGGCGCAGTGCCCGCTTCTTCTTGGAAGACCCATTTACTCTGTAGAGGCCTACATGTCGTAAGCCACGCCGGTCAATCTCGTAGATGCATTTTTGAACGATCAGAGGCACTGTAACACGCTCTCTCATCACCACTTGACCCAGCTTCATGCCAAACGTACCAAACTGCGAGGCGGATGGCAGGCGTCGCAGCAGAGCAGTCCTGTCGGCGTATGCCAGCTTCAGCCGCAGTATGCCACCCGTAGGTAGTAGCAGTCGCAATCGACGTAATCGAGCACTGCTGAACAATGGCTGCAGGTGCAGTGCAGTTTGTGCACGCAGTATATCCTTGCCTGGGGAGATGGCATACACCGATATAACCAGCTGACGAGTGCACTCCAGATTGATGTCAAAGTCCTCGTCCCAGTTGACTGTGTTGCCACCTGCTGCCTGCAGTGAGGAGGAGCGAGCCGCTGTGTTATTCCCACCAATGTCTAACACACAGTACAGGTGTGATGAATCAGCTGATGTGAATCCACTGCCGTCTAGCAGACGCACCAACATGAATCCATCCACGGGTGCTACTGACTGTTGCTGTTGGTTGTCACGTCGCTGCTGCTGTGTTGTAGTTGTTGCTCGACCTCGTCGTGCATCGGACAAGACGGCATCACCGTGAACCTCAGCAAATATCTCATCATCGTCTTCACTGCTCAGCAAGGATAGCACTGAATGAGCCATACGCTCTGACAGACTGCAGCGTGCTTTCACTGGATCCGCCGGTGTCCGATCATCCTCCTCCTCTGCTTCAAATCCCATGAACGATGCTGGTTCCAGTAAGAAGGGCAGATCCAGCTGTGTGCTGAGCTTTTCTGCAATGGCCTTCTTTCTCGCATCCTCAGTCAGAGATGTATCCTCCATTATCGCATCCATGCAAGCTACAAGCTGGGGTGCTTCTCCTTCGGTTCCTGGTTTGCTTTCAATCAGTGGAGCCGGATCATCAGTAAGCTCTGTGCTTAGGCTTTTGGATGATGGCGTCTCTGCTTCAGATCCCACCTCCTTGCCTGTCCCTTGTGTGGCTGTATTGTACGCATCATCATCGATATCCTCTACCACTTCTTGGTCACCGCCACCGCCATCACCACCGTCGCCGTCGCTGCGTCTGCTGATTGCTTGCGAGAGCTGTTCTTTCAGGTCATCTCCCATTCCCTTCTGCGCCAGCTCACCCGGAGTGTACCCTGTACCTACGCCATGCTTCAGTCTCGGTTGTGGCGAGTACTCGTATTCCGACGGTGTGCCGCTATCAGATCTCAGGCTGTGCTGGGTGTTGTCGCGTAACAACGGCTTACCAGAACCTGCAGTCCTTACTGGTGTGCTGGTACACGCACTGCGTACGTTCATAACTAGCTGATCTGACGTCTGCACCATTTCACGTAGGTCCTGTGCACGGCGTGCTGATGATACCGACACGCCGTTTATAGTGAGAATGCGATCGCCGACTTCAAGCAAACATTGCCTCTCGATCATTGTATTGCGTTCAATGTGCGTCACATAGGCACTCGGTTCATGGTCAATTTCATCACCATAGAGTTGACTCGCCGACGATGCTTTGCGAGGCAGCTCAAATATGAATTTGAATCCAAACGGCTTGCCGGACTGCCGGCGTATGTCGACCGTTCTCTCGTATGCGCCAGCTCTGGAGTGTGACCGGGACGTTGGGGCACTGGCTACTCCATCACACACATCATCACCTACAGCCAGACCATTCACAAGCCGTGGATCACGAATTCCTGAGACCTTTCTGAAGGTTCCTGGCAAGATGGTTACGTCCCTGTTTTGCAGTTTGTTATTACCAGTCACCGCTGCTGTGTCAGAACTGCCTGTTGCACTAGTATTGTACCCCGGCTCTGCGCCACTGTGTGCATTGTAACTGCCCGGGCCAGCTGAAGATAGAGATCCAGTGCGTTTCGAATCTTTTGTCTTTGGTGTACTGGGAGCACTGGATGAACTGCTACCTCCGCCTTTACTGCGAGTGCCACCACCACCGACCGTATTGCGACGGAATCGCAGGCTGCGACGTATCCTGGACGCTGCTGAGGTCTTGAAGCCAACTTCTTTGTTTGGTGACAACTCTCCGCTAACCGTTGAAGTGATGTCACCCATTGATGATGGTGCTCCCCCGGGTTTTCGCTGGTCCTTGTCACCGACCAAGCGCATCTTGGAGTGCGGCCCTTGTTGGTGGTATGGGCCTTTGTTACCGTCGCCACTGTTCAGCGAGATATCGCTGAGCTCCAGTTGAGCGTGCTTTGCTTGCAGATCTGTCTCTGCTGTGCTTTGATGTTGCAGTTGCTGATCTGTACTGCTTGTCGCACTTACCGCGCCAGTGCTCAGATTGGTATTGCTTGCAGTGGCTGGTTTGCACTGCAGCTCATCCGACTCACGTCTCTCACCACTACCCACATCTTGTACCATAGACTGCCGCTGGCTCTTGCTGTCTGCTCCATCCAGCCTCTTGGAGGACTTGCGCCTGAGTTTGAACTTTGCACCTAACCCCATCTTGCCATCGATGTTTGTAACGCTACTGCCACTGGTGAGTTCTGCCTCACACAGCTCCTGTCCCTGCTGATCCTGCTCTTGGTACTGCCGATGCCCCTGCTGCTGCTGGTGGTCAGTTTCAAGCTTTGAAACTGATGACCGCGTAGCGTTAACGACGTTGACAGCTGAGCTGTCTCCCGAAATGTCATGCCCTGTTTTTTGTTGTAGTTGTTGTTGTTGCTGTTGACTTGTGGCAATGGCCGCGGTGGCTGCTGCTGTCGCTGGTGGCGGGTCATTCCAGCGCTGAAGTTGACTATCGGTGTTACTGCGGCCGAAACGGGGCAATGATGCCTTCTTCGTTTCTAGCGTGACATCTGCATCATAATACCGACCGCGTAGACCCGTCAGATCACCTTGCTGACGGTCCGGCTGCTGCTGCTGCTCATGCAGCTGAGAGTGGCGTCTGCTGCCGCTCAGGAACGCCACGAAACGATCTTTTCTGCTGCGTCTGCGGACTGCGGGGAAGTTAGTGGCCTGCTGCAACCCTGACAAGCCAAAACCTTTGCTTGGCGAAGTCGGGGCGGACAATGTGGCCATATTGTTTCAAGTTCAACTGCTAAATCACTTGCCCTGGTGAAATGTAATCACTTGCCCTGGTGAAATGTAATCACGACTGACCCGACTCGGGTAAACACTGTGCTACAGACTACGGTACTGCGTCTGACATGGAAATGTTTAGCTTCATACTCCCCGAATAGACACATGCATGCGCGGGTACATGGCCGGGATTGGTCAGAAAACATCCAAGTAACACACTGACAGGGTCTTCTTGCATTGGCAGACGCAGTCAGACTCAGGCCAGGGCGAAAGCAAGGAGGTCACTATTGTACGCACCTCACCCACTGCTCCCACACGCACTTTCTGCCACAATGACAATGAAATCGCCAGGCCTTGGCTTAGGGCTTATGCCTAACTGGTGAAAGATGAATCCAAGTCTTTGCTGATCTACTTGCGGCACCGTAACAGCTGCTGTATGCAAAGAATGAAAGATTTCGAAAGGAAGTGCACGGCCACCACTACATGATTGTAGTGACCAGCACCACCACGGCACCAGATAGCGTATCAGCGCCGTTACCTGGAATGTTAGTACATGATGCCTAGTAATAATACTAGTACTAGTATAGATCTACACCATGGTATACACTGCTGGCTGTCTCAGTGTCTGTACTGTAGTATTTGGGACAGCCCCCCCCCCGGGCTATATCCGTTCTCTACGAACTCGCACAGCCCGTCACTGTGACTCAGTCAGTATCACCACTGTGGTTAGTTATAGATTGCAGTGCAGGCATGCAGCAGGTACCATCAGGTCCACCACCATCACCGACGATTCTTCCTTTCTGCAGGTAGGAGGAGTAGATGCTACGTTCAGTGTTTGTATGGATGGTAGCCTTGAACTTTGAAGGAAAACTAAGCACCGACCATGGCAGAGCTAGGGATGTGCTACTGCAACCGTGCAACCGTGCTTGCTGCTGGCAACACTGCCAACACTCAACAGTGTGGAAACAGAGTCGGAGACGAGAAGCTATCCACAGCACACTAAGAACATCATGTCAGTTGTTATTGGTGATTTGTATGGTGTAAGTCACTTGCATCAGTAACACTGCATTGAACATACATGTACATGTATACGCATCGCTCACGCTAACACACTTGCAAGTGCAGCACTAACACTTAAAGTAACGTTAGTTGTGAATCCTTGGCTGGTACTGCATTGGCATTCGCGCCCTGCCACTGAGTCTGTCCTCTTTGACTTTGGACACGAATGATGTATTTTAGCGGTAGGACATGCAACAGCAGTCACTGGCGTGTACAGATAAAGAGTTGTCCCCAGTCATGGCGTGACTGCAAGCAACGGCTTACTAGATCCTAGGCTTCCATTGGACGCACTAGTCGTGCTTTTCTAGTCTAGTAGGTACTGGCAGCGGATGTGCATACGATGAAATGGTCACCTCTCTCCCGTCTAATAGCCTCCAGTCATGTGGCGGAAGTGTACAAATCGTCGCACACAGTGCAGTCGGCCAGTAGGCGCGCCGTCGCCTGTAACAGGTCACAGCGTCGCCTTTCCACCACCTCCACCACCAGCAGCAGAAGCAGCAGCACCGGTCACGTCCTTCCAGTAGCAATACTAACCAGTTACCAGGTCCTCCATACTGCACACTTAGCTCACTAGTGCTGGTCAGTGATCTACGGAGACGGGAGAGTACTGCGGGCGACTGTGTGCTTGTGCCAACCACAGAGCTAGAGTTACTGCTGCATGCCTACATTTGGTAGGCTATGCACTGAACCAGACACGCAGCTACTGCCTCCTCTCTGCTCAGTCAAGTAGAAAGTGCAATATGTATGTGCGTTCGTGTGTTGGACAGTATTAATTAATGTACATTATTGACTGTAATGTGTCACCAAGACTAGTAGATCTACTCGAACTCTTGATGTCACCTCTGCCGCTGGTGTGAATACTCGCTACATGCACTGAGTAGTGAGTACGACGTAGATCTACTGAGGACTCGTTGAACAAGCATCTGAGCTGAGCCTGTAGCTACTACACTGTAGCTAGCCTTGTACTAGTTGTAGCCTGCTGTAGTACTAGTAGCTGGAGAGGATTACTACGGCTGCTAAAGCTGGTGATGCAATTGCCGGTATCCGCTTTAAAAAGCCTGTCGATCGTCTTCGAGATCGGCGCTGGATTCACTTGCTCACTTCCGTTGTTAGGTGGACGCATAAGAACTTAGGTAACTTAGGTTAGGTATGAACTGTTGCAGTGTTGGCAGCATACACACGCCAGCCTACTCCGCGTAGACTTTGTTTTCCAACGCGCGAGCCAAATAACACGAGCTGAACTTTCTCTTTTATTCATACACACACGCACGCGAGCGAGCGCGCGCACACACACACATACACCACACACACACACACACTCTCTCTCTCTCTCTCTCTCCTCCTCCCCTGTATGTAGGCTACGTCTGTATCCACGTACGTACATGTATACACGTCCTCGCTGCCGCTACCAGAGTACTAGCACTAAAGTAGCAGTTGTGCTTGTTCTCTCTGAGCAGCATGGAGTTCATGGTTAAGAAGGAGCTGAGAGCAAAGGTGATGAGGGTTTGGAGGAGTGCCGTGTTTTCTGATAGGTTTGACCACAACAGGAACAAATTACAACGAATTACACACACTTAAGCTACACGGCACTGCCACTCAGCTCTATCAGAGAGACGTATTGAATCATGTGGCTGGCCACCGCCTCACAACTTCACAAGTGTAGCCTGGGGCTATTCCCATTGTAAGGCCAGCAGCTGCCTATGAGACCGGTGATCCTATTGATCGTTCATGTTTTAGACCAATTACATGTACTCAGCCACTACAATGTAGAGTAGTAGAGGAATAGAGAACATTGCAACGTGGAAACGTCTACTGATCCCGTCACTCGTGACATTCAGACCACGATGCTTCATAATACGATACAAGAGCAATGGTTGTAACTTGAAAGACGGAAGAGCATTCATCTTGGGCACCAAGAAGACCTTAATTTAAGGGTCTGTTGGGAATCACGGCCCAAGTAAAATAATAATACAATACAATACAAGAAGATGCATAGACTCAATCTCCGGACAGCTAGCTGTTTCGACCCACTTACGTAGTTATAGTTAACACTATTATTACAAACAAGGCCGGTCCAGGAAGCTCGAGGTAGAGTGCTTAATGTACGAATGTACAGAGCAGTATACACACACAACAGAGGCGAAAGGCTGTGTTAGCGTGAAACTTTAAGTTACAGCTAACACAGCCTTTCGCCTCTGTTGTGTGTGTAACACTATTATTATTATTATTATTATTATGTACTCTTGTTGCCATTGATAGCAACAACTACGTGTACAAGTATTAGTGTACATGTTCAAATTGCCACCTTGCACCTGAGTACGACTTTCCGCGTGATGTACATGAAGGGGGTTTGAAACACCCTTAGCCTGCACATACATGTACATGTAGCACCTCTCAGGCCCCAAATTGGTATTTTGTTCTTGCCTTCCGATCACTGCATCCACCTGTGTGAGTATTCATTTGGGCCAGCTGGGCAAGGTTGTTGTCATTGTATTTATTTTAAATTGGTAAGCCAAACGGGCAGAACTGCCCAATGAAAAGGTGACGAATGCAGTAGTCGGAAGGTAAGAACGAACAGCTATTGGAGTGGTGCAACACAGCTAAAGGTATTTCAAGCCATCTACATTTATATTCATTTGTATAAGCCTGACTTGTTGTCTTGGCGGTAGTCAACACTTCTGATATGGATGTGAATCACACCTTTTCGTAACATTTGGTTGTTTTCCCCTTTCCTTTCTCTCCCCTGTGTTTCACGCATCTTTAGAGTACATGTACTGTTAATTGTTATGAACTGAATTTAGAAGTATCGAGTTCGGTTGTAATAATGTTAGTAGACCGTGATGTTGGTTGCTCCTACATGGAGCTCACGATTCCTGCCTTGTTGAACTTGACACTTGACTGACTCACGGCCGCCATCCGGAGCATACCACGGGACACCGTCCTATGTCGTCATGGTGGCTGTGCCAGTGGGGTGCTCCCAGCTCAGCCGAAAGACCGCCACGCACTGCAGAAAGAGAGAAAAGGGGAGGGGGGGGGGGGGAGAGGAAACAGTGGAGAGACATGAAAAGAAAAGAGGAAAGGAAAAGGTATCATCAACATAGCATGAAAACAAACGTCGAGGAGACAATAAACGTAAAATGGCAATGAATAAAGCAAAATAATTGTTATGAGTCTGACTGCACAATTTGCTTTATTCATAGCCTGTAAAGGGTAGGGATGGGTTTGCTCCCACACTGGAGTTCGCGCTATTCCGCCGACGACTTGACACTTGACTGACTCACGACTGCCATCCAGAGAACACGAGAAGTCCATCGAACCTTCGACTGTCACTCCGCAAGCCTGCAAGAAAGCATCACTCCCTGCTCAATACACAGTGTTTCGGAGAATTCACCCCTCATCAGTTTATTTTTTATTTATTTTTCTAAAAAACACAGCCCTACTAATAATCAGGGAAAGTTGAGGGTCCTCTACGTCTGTTCTCACCGTCCAGGAGCGATAACTGACTCACGCTGCTATCTGGTGTTCACGAGGTGTTTGTCGCGCTAGAAACGGAGTGTCTCTGTAAGTTTGTATCCCTGGTGATGTTTGTGCCTGGACAGCACTATATAAGTGGTGCTCTTCAGGCACAATCTTCCTCAGCCTACTCAAGCTCAACTGATGAGGGGTGAATTCCCCGAAACACTGTGTATTGAGCAGGGAGTGGTGCTTTCTTGCAGGCTTGCCGAGTCGAAGGTTAGATGGACTTCTCGTGTTCTCTGGATGGCAGTCGTGAGTCAGTCAAGTGTCAAGTCGTCGGCGGAATAGCGCGAGCTCCAGTGGGAGCAAACCCATTCCTAAACAAAATCATCGTCGAAGTCGCAACCTCTATTTCGTACTGTAAAGTGTATAGAATATAATCATCCAGTCTAGTATCCGCGTCCAGTATTTACCATAATAAGAATCTGCGGCAATTGAAATTAATTAAATTAAATGAGTTCTCACATGCGATCAACCTGGGCCTCGGCAACAACCAGTTCAGCATACCCTGGACGCGCCGATCGCTCGCAGAAAAGACCTCTTGTCAGTCTTGAACCCCGCAAAAACATAATACATGGTCGCAACGGAGCAAGTGACAGACGGCACCGGATGTAGGATATCACATGGGAGTACTGCTCCTTCCTCCTCTCGGCTCTCAGAGACGCGATTCGGCGACACTATAGTGCTGTAGCTGCTTTTCCCATGCCACCACTCGCCAACAGCACAACCAGCACGAACATCACATACACCACCTCTCTCACACTCTCTCTTCATAGCATCTTCTCTTTTCTTTTTTCACGACGTCGGTAGACAGTGGTGTGTGTTGCAGATCGGTTGGATCGTGCGTGACCGTGAGGATTAAACAACCAAATGTCAAGTAAAGTACGCTCAAACCGACTGCCCCACAAACTACTGACCGCGATATCAAGCCGTGCATGCTCCTCCACAA